GATGCCTGAGGGTCGTTCTACAAACACTTAGAGCAAACAAACTGTTTGCAAAACTGAAGAAATATGAATTCTGGTTGGATAAGGTTGTGTTTTTAGGGCAAGTGATTAACAAGAATAGAGTTTCAGTGGACCCACAAAAGATTGAGGCAATTGTGAATTGGCCTACACCAACAAATGTGACAGAAGTTCGGAGCTTCATGGGATTAGCAGGGTATTACAGAAGGTTTGTGAAAGACTTCTCGCAAATATTTGTACCGCTTACACAACTTACCTGAAAATGGGAACTGTTTGAATAGATCGACGAAAGGGAATCCGTTTTTCAAGAATTGAAAACGAGTCTAACTATAGCACCGATCTTGACCTTGCCATCAAGTATGAAAGATTTTGTAATTTATAGTAATTCTTCATATAAAGGTTTGGGTTGTGTGCTCATGAAGAATGAGAATGTGATAGCTTGTGCATCTCGACAATTAAAGCCACATGAAAGAACTATTCAACTCGTGACTTGGAGTTAGCCGTTGTTGTGTTTGCATTGAAGATTTAGCACCTCTACCTTTATGGAACGGCATGTGAAGTTTACATCGACCACAAAAGTTTGAAGTACTTTTTCACGCAAAAGGAGTTGAACATGCGTCAAAGGAGATGGATAGAACTGATTAAAGCTTATGACCTTCAGATTCAATATCATCTGAGCAAAGTTAATAGCATAGCTAATGCTCTTAGTAGGAAGTCAATGGGGAACTTGGCGTGTTTTCTTACCAAACAAAAAGAATTGTTGAAAGACCTAGAAAGATTAGAGATAGAAGTGGTGCTTCATGAACAAAGCAGAATGTTGGCCGCAATTTCAGTTCAGCCGGTAATTATTGAAGAAATCAAGCATAAGTGACTAGAGGATGAATTCCTTAATAAAATGTTTGATAAGATAGAATCAAATCCAAGACCGGGATTCAATGTTGAGACTCAAATGTTAAAATTTCAAGGGAGATTGTGTATTCCAAATATGTCCGACCTTAAAAGAAGAATCATGGAAGAAACTCATAAGTCCAAGTTTACTATGCATCTGGGCAACGCTAAAATGCATTAAGATCTAAAGCAAAGTTACTGGTGGCCTAACATAAAGAGGGAAATCACTAATTTTGTGTCCAGATGCCTCCAATATCAACAAGTTAAAGCTGAACATGAAAGACCGGTAGGTTTGCTTCAACCTCTCCCTACTCTAGAATGGAAATGGGAGCACGTAACCATAGATTTCATTGTGGGACTACCTCAAACACCCAAAGGTACAAATTCCATTTAGGTTATTATGGATAGATTGACTAAGTCTACTCATTTTCTTTCTCTGAGATCTTTCTATAACGCTTATAGACTTGTTACCATTTATATCGATGAGATTGTTCGCTTGCACAAAGTACCAGTATCAATTGTTTCAGATAGGGATCCTAAATTTGTGTCTAGATTTTGGCAAAGCTTTCAAAAGGCGATGGGAACAGAGCTGAGATTCAGTTGCACTTTCCATTCGTAAACTAATGGCCAGTCTGAAAGGACCCTTCAAACCTTAAAAGAAATTCTTCGGATGTGTGCTCTAGATTTTCAAGGTAGTTGGGAAACCTATTTGTCGTTGACGGAATTTGCATACAACAACAGTTTCCACTTTAGCATTGGTATGGCACCATATGAAGCCTTGTATGATATGAAATATAGATCTCCGGTTTGTTGGACAGAAATTGGGGACAGAGTTTTGCTTGGTCTTGAAATCGTGTAAACAACCACCGAAAAGATTGAGATTATTTAGCAAAGGCTCAAAACTGCGCAAAACTGACAAAAGAGCTATGCGGATCCAAAAAAAAAGGACTCTTGAGTATGATGCAATGATCATGTATTTATTAGGGTAACTCCGATGAAAGGTCAAACAAGATTTGGGGGAAAAGCAAGTTATTACCTCGGTATATTAGGCCAATTCAGATTTTGGAAAGGCTTGGTCCAGCTGTGTACTAAATAGCTTTACTGCCGGGAATGGAGAACATACATAATGTGTTTCATGTGTCAATGTTAGAGGGTTATCTTTGGGATCCATTCCACATTATTGATTATCACTGGATAGCTCTTGATGATAATATGGACTATGAGGAAAGGCTAATGCCAATCATCAACCGACAAGTGAAACAACTAAGGAATAGAGAAATTCCTATGGTTAAGGTAAAATGGAAGGAATATTACGACAAAGAAGCCACATGGGAAAGAAAAGATGAAATGAAGCAAAAGTATCTCGAGTTGTTTCCGACACAAGGTAACGCAAGTTTGGATGACCATACTTCTTAAAGGGGAAAGACTGTGATAGTCCCATCATGTAGTATACTTATATTTATTTAATCTTGATTGTTAATTATGTGTTTGATGTGTAAATTGTGCATATCTGTCCATTTGATGAATTATCTATTGTGATTTCTTCTTTAGATATGAAATTAAAGCCTTAATGATATCAAAAATCGAAAGTGATAAGTTTAATTAGGATAACATAATTTTTAGAACCATTTGGGAATGTTTAATTAAAATTTGATTCAGTTTAGAAAAATTAAGTTTTAATTAATTAGCTTTAAGCCTTAATTAGTTAAGTTAATCCCTAATTAGCATCTTAAGTTAATAAAACGTATATATATGAAAAGATGATTATTTGTACTCAAATCTACTGGAACAACATTTTAGAGAGAGACAGAGGGAGCTCAATTTTAGAAAGAGAAAGGCTCAAACTTAGAGATTTTGAAGATTGAAGATTTGAGAAGATGAGCTCAAGTTTTTGCTAGAATAAGTATAATTGAAGGCTCTAGGTAAGAGTTTGATCCTCAATTCATGAATTTAAATCATATATGAATTCAAGAGGATTATGAGATTAAAACACAAGAATTGAGCTAAGGATGATGAATTTGAAAGCCAGGCATACATACATGCATGATTTTGAGGAATTCCATCATTTTTTAGCATGATTTTGTTATCTGAGTTTGAATTGAGAGTTGTAACATACATGCATCCATGATTCACAATGTTTTAAAGCTTAATTTCATGATTTGTGAGTTGTTGAAAAAGAATTTGAAAATGGTTTCTACATGCATGAAATTTAAAGTTTCAATTTTGTGGAATTCATGAAGATTTGAACTAAAGGTTTGAATTGCTTATATACTCATGTGTTTTCAAAGTATTTCTAAGTGTTTGGACAAGCCATGCAAGAGATTTTGGTTTTGGAATTAAGTTTGAAGCACATTTGTTCATGTTTGAAAATACAAAATTCGGCCTCATCATTGGAGCGCACAATAAGGGCTTCTAGTATTTTTGCAGAGCATTGTACATAACTCGAGCAACCTCAATTTTCAAAACAAATTGGTTCGAGCGACCGTCAAGCCTACATTTCAACCATTCAGTACTTTTGCAGACCATGTGGTCCGCTCGAGCGACCAATAGTGCACTCGAGCGAATTGTCCTATTTCAGCTTATTTTGAAAAATTACATTATATCCATATTTGCATCCTCACTTCTTTCTAAGTAATTTTAGGATGAAATAAGCCTCATGATCGACTTAATAAGTAAGAATTAGACATAAAGAAATTGATTAAGAAAGGAAAGATTCGATTAGGCAATATGTTTATATGTTTGTGTGTTATGTAGGTTGATCCACAGAAACGTGACAACAAATTAATCGTTGTGAGTAATATTTTAGTAAAGATATTTTCACATATATTTATTTTCTAATTGTTTCCAATGTGGTAAGCTTTTCTGAACTTTTGATTTTGTGATATGAATGAGCTTCTATCTATTCAAACAATATGATATATGTTAATGGAAATGAATAAGTACGAATATATGAAATGGATCCAAGGTTGTTCTGTGTATCTAATAAGATGGACCCAAGGTCGTTCTGATTATCTGATATGTCTGAAATATCTGTCATTTGTTGACCAAATGGTCATTAAACAGCTGTAATTGATTGGACCCAAGATCGTTTTGCTGTGTGTGATCTATTCTGTTTCATACTTCTATATATGCTGGATCAGAAGTTGTTCAGTCAAGTTTTAAACCTAAGGTAGTTTTGCTATAACAAGAATTTGAGTATGAAAATAATTATATTAAATATCAAAATTCATTCATGTAACCTCTTTACTCTGATATTATTCACTGGATTTTAGTTCACTCAGTTGTATTTATATATATATATATATATATATGTGTGTGTGTGTGTGTATGTGAGCAACGAGATGTCTAGCCTTAGAGAAGTCCGGTGATTATCTAAGTTTTGTGATGTCAACCATAAAGCGTCTCTCGGAACAGGCTATTCTCTTTTTGTTTTTGTTGGTCATGTTTGACCTCGTTTTGTAATTATCCTTTTGAGTTTTGTAAGCAATTACTTATACTTGTGAATGACTTTTGGATGTATGTAATATCTATACGTACATATTTGGATGTAAGTTATTAACGAATAAATATTTTTGTTTGTTCTATATATGCATAGTTCATTAGAAAATTTTCTATTATCTGCTTTCACTTTTAAATAATCTTGTGATTACTGACCGGTTATGATCCAAACCTAGTGACATGTTTGATTAACATAATTAGAGTATGAGATTGGGATTATTAATCTGTGGGCTCAATAATCCTGTGTTTGTTTAGAAATTTTGTTTCAAGATTATTAATTTAATAAATTTGTAGGATTATTATTAATAAGGTAGGGGGTGGGATTATATATCCGGAGTTGGAAAAAAAAAAAAAAACTCTTTTACCTTTGAATAAAAATTAAAACATTTATTATTTTTTTTATAATTTTGTATTTTAGAAGACTAAACATAATTTTAAAAAATTTAAAAATATTTTTTGATATTTATTTATCAAATTAATTTATATATTTTTATAAAAAATAAAAAATAAATCAAACATGACCTTTATATTTTGTACTTTTATTTTATTTTTATTTATTTATTTATAATTTTTTTTTTAAATTACGTTTATGATGAAATTTTGATAAAATAGAGATTACCAAAAAGTCTGACAATGGCGAAAACCATGAGGAAACCAGAATTGTTGATGGTGAGCCGGTTTTTGAAGTCACCAGGTCAGGGTCTCCACCGAATTACGTACACGAGGTCTCTGGAAACTCTAGCTTTCGAAGAGGTCCGAGCATCCCCTGAAAGACCAGACAATAATTTCACTGCTTTTGTACTTCACGGCCTCTTCGGTTCTGCCCGAACCTGGCGATCTTTTTCTCGGACCCTCGCTTCCTATCTCTCCAACTCCTCTCCTTACTCAAGTCTCTCTCTCTCTCTCTCTCTCTCTCTCTCTCTCTCGCTCGCTATATATATATATATAATTTGATAATGTAGGGCTTTCCCACTAATTCAAGGTTAATTCAAGGCCTTAAGTGGGTTCTTCTGGGGCATTTCATTTCTTGGGTATTTTTTTGTTTACAAAAACAGGGTCTCTGGCGTTTATTTAATTATATCATTTAAGCTTGCTTAATTTTAAATTATTGTCAATTTATTTCTATTCATGGGATGTTTTTATTTCCAATTAATTTTCTTGTATGATAAGTTGAACGGCTTCAGAACAGTCTTTCTCCCTCTCAATCAGTAGATTTTAAAAGTGTGATCATAACTTATTTATTTATTTATTTATTTTTTAAGTAAAGGTAGAGATTCACACATTTATACTCACAACAATGTGGCAAAGGAGTTGGACACACCATGTGTAACAAATCAAATTGTGGGTAGAATTGTAGATATGTCTCAAACATTTTCTTTTCGTTTTTTTGTTTTTTTGTAGATTGGAGGATGGTTCTTGTGGATTTGAGGAACCATGGAAGATCAGCTGAGATTGAGGGTCTAAACCCTCCTCATGACATGACTAATACTGCTAAAGATCTGGCTGATTTAATAAAATCCCAAGGTTTGGCTTGGCCTGATGTTGTTCTAGGCCACTTCATGGGCGGCAAGGTTGCCTTGCAATTTGCTGAGAGTTGTGCTCGAGGTTATTATGGTGAATCTGCCCAATTGCCTAGACAGGTATTTCTTTACCAATGCTTCTTCATTGACATGCATTGCGTTTTCATCTATTTTTATTTTGTTTCAAGTAATTAGTCCATTTATTGTGATCAAAGTTTTGACAGGTCTGAACTATCTTCATTATAATTTTTTAGATGGTGGGTTTCAAGTGATCAGTTTACTAAAATATAAGATTCATAATGGTACCTCCTGAGTGGGGAAGGTTATTTGAGTTTACAATGTTACAAGCAATTTTTCATGCTCGTAGTTTGGAAGACAATCATTACACGAATCCTTGTTGCAGCAATTCAGCGGAACATCATTGTATAAGGAGGACTATTTTACCGTTGTAACAGAAGAATTGGAACATAAACATTTAGTTTGTGGATGGGTACATTATTTAGGGCTGCATTTCACTGTGGTGTGAGTGTATTGATTATTAGTTGGGCATCGTAAGCTAAAATTAGGTCTTCGTTTTCTATATCCTTTTCAGTTTTTAGGTTTGTATTAGGAATGGGTTTTTTTATTATTTTTATTTGTAACTAGTATAGTTTTTCAACTTATGGAGAATGGACCTTGAAGTAAAATTTATTTGTTTAATGAGAGTATGTTATATGCATACCTACTCAACTTGTAGCTAAAATGATCAATGGCATGAATTATGTACTTAAGCACACTAAAATTTGAGTGTAATGACAAAGTTTGCTTGGAAATACTTTAGGGGGAAACCTTTTGGAAGTGCCACAGCCTTATGTCATACAGTACTCCTTTAATTGGTTTTTATTTCTTTGTTAGGTAATTTATTACTTGTAGATGTGCCATGAAAAAAAAAAAAAACAATCTATATCATACACCTTGTTTTGTCCACGTACATTGGAACTCTTTTTATTTACATGATCACCCGAAAACTTGGTTCCCCTATCAATGAATATTTCATGTAAAAAGGGCTCATTTTCCTTCATTGTATAAGAAAAGGTTTAAGAGGCTGCTCTGAATAAGTCAAACCTTAAATTTAATTGGGTCTTGACATGGTGGGAAACAAGTTTAGCAAGGAAATCTTGTTAGGAGGAACTAATGCGTAGTAATGAGATTCCTAGTGCTTAAGGGCAAAAGTTGTCTTAGAAACAATATTTTGTTTAATTTGAATATACGTATGATTCGTAGGAAAAAGAAAAAAGAAGGGTAATTATGTTGTTCAATCAAAGTAACTAATTATATCATGTTTATTTTCAAATAATTTAGTTTTTTTCACAATTATATTTATATTATTTTTCAATTTTATGAAAAGATGTAATTGTCTTAACTTTAATTGTTATTGAAATTATAATTCAATTATTTATGCAATACATTTATTGATTTTTCCTTTTAATATAGCAGGATTTTATATATTAAGTATTGAATTAGGTTAAAACTGATACAGACCCTATACTGTCCACAAGTAAATGTGGCGTCATAGCATATACTTGGAAGTTGAACATATGGGCAAAGCGATTATCCTTTTTATTATTTATTATTATTTTAAAAAATATTCCTAGTTGGATAATGTGGCAATGCATTAAAGACATAAATTTTCACTTTATATATAAGAAATTATAAAGTATGTTTGTTGAAATTTCCTGAAGTGTTTTAGCAATTGCCTTATGCTTTAAGGGCATGTCTGAAGCTAAGCTATTAAAATGCACTTTTGTAGTCTGTGAGTTTATGCAGATGTATTATTGGTAGTGGAGTGGTTTGGAAATCATTTTTAGCAAGCATTACTTCAAGTAAATAATGGCATTGCATTGCCGGATTGATTTGATGATCTATGGTTAAATCAGATTAGAAACCTTATGCAGAACAGCTGTGGGTATTGGACTCCATCCCTGGAAAAGTGAACCCAGAAAACAATGATGGAGAAGTGGAGAAAGTTTTGCAGACCTCGCAATCTCTGCCTACATCAATCCCCTCACGAAAGTAAAATCTCTATTTTTCTCTTGCACCTATAATTAGTTAGAGGGAATTACAATTAAGTCCAAATGACCAAAATTAATTACACAAAATATGGGGGTACAACTCTCCGTGTAATTAATTTTGGTCATTTGGACTTAATTGTAATTCCCCAATTATTTAGGTGCATTGTGCCATCATTGTAACCATGTTATTTATGTGCCTAGTTGTTGTGCATTGGTGGTCCTTTGAGAACTCTGAAACTGCAGTTTTGTGTTTGAAGGGAACAATGATTGCCTCTTTTCTTTTCTCTCCTTTTTTATTTTTTTATTTTTTTGGCTTGTGGAGGAATTTCATTTTTTAGTAAAATCTGTCTCTATAAATAAATAAAAATGCTAGTAGGCCGATAATTCGCTGGGGAATCAAGATTAAGTGCAGGTGTAGGTATGTTCTGGCCAATTAAAAGCTGGGCTAGATGTCAGGTGTATCTATACTCTGGTGTCCTTTATGTTCTGTCCTTGAATCCTTCCAAACATGTGGTCAGCTTCTGCTTTTGCTAATTAGGGGTCATTCAAATGGAGTTTTTGACTAGAATATTGTTAGTTAGTTATATATATAAAAGAAAAATCCCAATCTCACGTTGGTTAGAATCTACTTCCAATCAAGGGTCAATTTTGCCATGTAAAAAGCCTAGTATTACTATTAGGACTTACCAAAGAAAAAAAATGCAGAGAAAGAAAGAGAAAGAAGAGTAATGGTAGTCCTTGAAGTGGCGGAGTGGGGTCTTCTGGGAAGATGGTAGGCACTAAGATGTCAGGGGAGAGAGGGTGCAGAGAGAGGGCTTTTAAGCTTGTTGGAAGAAAAGGCCAATAGTTTATCTTGTTCTTACATGTACAAAGGGGATCCCCCTTTATATAGTGAAAAGCTCAGCTATGCACATGATTCCAAGTTGAGGGGCGGGGAACTCAACCCCTTAATTAAAAAATCTGAAGGTTTCTATCCACTTTGCCCATGATCAAGGTTCTAGTTCCCAAGGGAGGGGATGGCATGTCACCTAGATAAACCCTCAACTCCTGCCTCAAAAACTCAAATCGTAGTGATCATAAACAAAGATTTCTAGACCTTGCTTCCAACCTAGGTTGATATGGTTGTCCTCATCAAGGTCCTTGGAGTCTAAATGTGGATGGAAGACCTGCTCTGCAAGAGAATGAGCTTAAGTGGGCATTCCTTGGCCAAGCCAAAGCGTGCATTAACAGTTTGGTTCATGCCTTAAATGTTGTCGCCTAGGGCAAGGATACCAATGACACTTGCCTTGGCTATCATAGCTCAACCCCAGAGGGGTGCATGTGGAGACTCATCATTTTGGAGCTACAACATGGAGAGAACATGTACCTACATGCTATTAGGGATAGCAATTTAAATCCGGCCCGACGGGGACCCGATCCGCCGACCCCGATTAGTACGGTTTTTTTCCGAAAAATACCCCCGACGGGTCAGGGATGGTATTCAAAAAATAATCACCGATAAGTTTTGGGCCAGGGATGGTGATAAGTTTTTCCGCCCCGGCCCCGGTCCGACCTCGTCCCGTTTCAGCCCCGCTTCTCTCCCCTCTCTGTCTCACTCACCTACCTACTATATATATATATATATATCTCTCTCTCTCTCTCTCTTATCTTAGACTCAGATCTAAGAATCACAACCCACCTCCTCTCTCTCATCTCATCTTAGATCTCTTTGGCTCTCTCTCATCTCAAAACCCTTCCTCCTCCTCTCTCTGCTTCTCGTCTGTCTACCGCCATGGCCGCACTCTGCCGCTTCATACCGGCAGCGCAACCAGAGTCTCCATCTTCACCGATCGAGACCTCTCTTCTCTCCGTCACCGATCGAGACTTCTCTTCATCTTCTCTTCTCTCCGTCATAATCTCTCCGCCTCTTTAACTCCGTCACCGATCGAGACCTCTCTTCTCTCTCCTCTCTCCCTCTGTTTGTGTGTGTGTGATGATGACAACGACGACTTAGATCTGCAGATGTGTGCGTGTGTGTGTGATGATGACAACTATTCAAATCGGCAAATGTGTGTGTGTGTGTGTCTCTGTGTGTGTATGTCTCTGTAGATGCGTGTGTGTGTTTGTGTGTGTGTCTCTATGTGTGTATGTCTCTCCATCGGGGATTTTTCGAGGTCGGGGAAAGGGATCGGGGACGGAGAGGGCAATCCTCGGCCCCGCCCCGGCCCGTTGCCATTCCTACATGCTATACATATCTACAAATTTTATCCACTAGATACAAGGTATTGGGGTGGTATTCACTTTTTGTCTAGTGATTCAGAAATGTGGGTATGTGTATTATTTCTCAAAAAAAACTAAGAACAGGCAAAAAAAATCCTATGCCAATTAGGTAAAAGAATTGGCCAACAAAAAAATTATCAAGTAATACCTCCACTTCAGGTGAAATCTTTATGAATAGTATAAAGCTTCTCTGTGAGTGGAGACTTTTCAAATATATAAAAGGCCTTTTTCAGGTACTTCACAGAATCTCCATGTTCAATGGTGATTCTAATTTCTCCAAACCCTTCATTCATGGTAGAACCTTTCAAAGCCTCCGATTGAAGATGAAACTTTCTGTATTTGCAAAATAATACAAAGCCTCCACTTTAAAGGACTTAAAATCTTCCAGTATAAGTGGAAGCTTTACGTGATAGCTTTTTTACCTACTACTTCCTACTTGGCACATGATGTGGCAAAACCAACCATATTGGGAAATGATTTTTGATCAAATTAACTTGGTAACTTTTTTTAAGATAACAATAGTTTGGTCAAAAACACCATTAAAAATTCACATAGAACTGAATTGCCCCATTGTATTCTATGTACAACTTCATGTACAAATTCAGAATGGAAATGAATCCTTGTAAAAAATTGCAGCCATTAGAGTAATTAAAGTTGAGTAAATGTAGTTTCTACTTGCTGAGTGAAACAAATCTTTTGTGGGCATAGAAATTGCAGTTGAGTTAATTTTTGGGTATAGTTATCTCTTGGGAATCAACTCAGAAGCGCATTTACTGAGTAAATAAGAATCTTTGAAGTTGTTTACTTATAGAAAATTGCAGTTAAATTGTATATCTGATCAGCATGCCAATTATTTCATGTATTAAATCAAGATCCTCTTGCCTTCAGGTGGCTAATGGACCACATGAGTCAGCTTGGGTTCTTCAAGTCATTGTCACATTGGATAGGCAGCAACCTCAAAAAATCAGGAGAACATGAGACATGGGCTTTTAATCTTGAAGGTGCGCTCCAAATGTTCAATTCTTACAGGTGAACTTATGCTTTGAAATCTTTGCTGAGTGTGATCTATTCTGTTTCATACTTCTGTATATGTTGGATCAGAAGTTGTTTTGTAAAAAATTGAGTAAAAAATTGTGGGCATAGAAAATTGCAGCCATTAGAGTAATTAAAGTTGAGTAAATGTAGTTTCTACTTGCTGAGTGAAACAAATCTTTTGTGGGCATAGAAATTGCAGTTGAGTTAATTTTTGGGTATAGTAATCTCTTGGGAATCAACTCAGAAGCGCATTTACTGAGTAAATAAAAATCTTTGAAGATGTTTACTTATAGAAAATTGCAGTTAAATTGTATATCTGATCAGCATGCCAATTATTTCATGTATTAAATCAAGATCCTCTTGCCTTCAGGTGGCTAATGGACCACATGAGTCAGCTTGGGTTCTTCAAGTCATTGTCACATTGGATAGGCAGCAACCTCAAAAAATCAGGAGAACATGAGACATGGGCTTTTAATCTTGAAGGTGCGCTCCAAATGTTCAATTCTTACAGGTGAACTTATGCTTTGAAATCAGTTCGAGTGTTTTTTTTTTTAATGATGTTTATCTTTTGTTTTATTTTGCCTTGATCTCCATATTTTGGGTTTTGAGTCTGAAGAATGAATATCGCACTCTTTTAGGGAGACCGATTATTGGCCTTTGCTGGAGCACCCACCTAAAGAGATGGAGGTAGCTATTGTGTGTGCTGAAAAGAGCGACAGGTGATGTAGATGTGATTCAGAGGCTTGAACACCTTGCCAGTTGGAGGTCTGGTGCATCTGAGGGGAAGGTATCAGTTCATGTGCTTCCCAACTCTGGCCATTGGGTTCATGTGGACAATCCTAAGGGACTTTTGGAGATTGTGGCTCCCAGAATTGCTTCCATAGCTTAATTAGGTTCCACTTTGAATCTAAGACATTGGTGATTTTTAGTAACATTACGGCCTGTTAGGTTGTGTTTTCGTTTTTTATATTTTGTTTTCAAATTAAAAAATAAATAAATAAATAAAATTTGGCTACTAGTTTCTGAACATGATTTCTGGTATGAAAAAAAAAAATTGTGAATGCAACCCATTTTTTAGGAAACACCAAAAAAATATTTTCAAATTTTTGAAAACTATTTCCATGAAATTGGAAACGTTTTCACTTTTTGATTGTTTTGTTTCCAGAAAAATGAGAAACTTAAATGAATAAAACAAAGGAGATAGCTTTTCTGGGGCTTGTGAGGCTTATCACGGGTTCTATTTCGATGATCCAAACAATTCAATGTGTAGAGCTCTTTGAGTATTTTATACTTGCAAAAATGACATTGATCAAATTTCGATAGTCCCTTGATCGGAACATATTTTTATCAATGGTAAATATGATTTTAAAAATAAATTATTAACAAAAATGTGTTCTAATCAAGGGGTTATCGATATCCGATCAACGTAAGTTTTTGTAGGCATAAAGTACTCGATGAACTCTATATATAAAACGGTTCGGGTCATCGAAACAGGACTTATGATGGACCTAACAATATGTTTCAGTCCACATAATGGACTAGAGAGAAGCCTCTCCCACAAAGAAAAGCACATCAAACTGGCCTTTATTTTTTTGGGATCTTATTTCTTTTTGTTTAATTCTTCCCATCTAGGAAGCACGGATACAGATACGGGATACGGATACGATACGATACGATACGGATACGGCGATACGACAAAATTTGAAAAACTAGGATATGGATACGGAGGGGATATGTTCGTAAAAAATATTATTTTAACAATTTTTAGTAATGCAGTATGCATAAAAATAAAACCTAAAGCACAAGACAACTTGCTAAAGAAGAAAGATTCCTATAAAACTAAGAGTCTTCAAGGTCAATAGTTTCAACTTGTTCCCCTTCATCAGTGAATATCACAAGACCTTAGCTAAAGCTAAAAAACCATTCTTAAATAAAAATTTCAGCAAATATATTTTTTTAAGTTATCAATGATAGCCTAGGAAGCACGGCTACGGATATGGTGATATGGGGATGTGGATATGGCGATATGTCAAAACTTGAAAAAGTATGATATGGGTACAACGGCGATTCATTCGTAAAAAAAAAAATTATAATTTTAATAATGTAATATGCATGAAAATAAAACTTAAAGTAAATTAATAAATAAAGAGAGGGATTCCTATTAACCTAAAAGTGCTCAAACATTCATAAAACATCCAAAACTAAAAGCAAAAGCAAATGCAAATTAAACATCATCCTTACATGCCAACATCAAAAAAAGAGTGAGAGTAGAGAGAAGAAACGTGAGAGAGTGAGAAAGCGAGAGAGAAGTGAGAGAGACAACAAGGATACATCAATTTGACAAATTCCATTACTTTAACTCTCACTATATTCCTCTTATCAAAGAACTAAACAAAATATTATAAGTAATATGTAATTTCGAGTATCCGATACTTCAAAATTAAGTATCCGATACTTCAAAATTAATAAAAAATTAATTAAGAAGTATCCGATACTTTTAAGAAGTATCTGATACGTATCCGCAAATATCCGAGAAGTATCGATATCTGATAAGTATCCGATACAAATACGTCACCTTTTTTTAAGTATCCGTGCTTCATAGCTTCCCATTAAACTTGCTGCATGTAAATAGATGTTCTGGTTGTGATCATGATGATAATTTTTTGTCTGCGGTGCCTAGTCGTCAGTTGATATAAACCTTAAACAAACAATCCAAAGGAAAACATTTTGCCTAACCTTGTGAAGGGGATGTGTAAGTAAGCTTTGCTCAAGTTCCTCAATTTGATTAACCAACTCAACAAATTCCGGATCTTCAATGCCCATGTTCTGCCAAGGAAGCATAAATGTTAAGTAAAATAGCAGAGCACACTAATCATGATTAATAATTTCACAAAACTATATACAACTTCTCTCATATTATCTCTCTAGGAAAAATTGAATTAGCATTACAGAATTTCACCAAGAAATATTCATTGAAATACTAACAAAAATATTGTAAGGCGCAAAAAAAAAAAAAAAAAAGGGATAAAATGCATATGAGGCAATATTCTCTCATTTGGTAAGTGGCAACCAAAACACTATTACGTGTAGACAGATTTTTTATTTATTTTTTATTATTATTATTAGTTTTTTTTAAGGAAAAATTATTTATAAGTCTTATTAGGGAAACTTATGCTACATATGGTCCTACTAAAAACTTATGTTCCCATAAGTCCTGTAGGAAGTTTGTTCATACATTTATCCTCAATATTAGTTGTTAATATCATAAATAATAGTAAAACCATATATAGGAAATTAAATGTTACCATAGATCATATCTATATAAACGTAACGTAGCGTAACACTTACATAAACGTATAGATCATATCTATATAAACGTAACGTAGCGTAACACTTACATAAACGTAACGTGACACCTACATAAATATAACGTGACACCTATGATCTATGGTAATATGCAATTTCCTATAAACGTAACGTAACACTTATAATCTGTGGCAACATTCAATTTAAAAAAATAAAAACTCATTAAGTTTGCGAAACGTAACGTGGCACGTTACGTTACGTTTATGTAGATGTCACGTTACGTTTATTTAGGTGTCACGTTACGTTTATGTAGAATCTTGTGAAATACATTCCTATCGAAATAGGACTTGAGACTCTATAAAAAATTACATAGAAGTTAACCTACCATAAGTGTCTAAAAAAAACACTTATTAATAAGTCTCCCTCTTTTTAACGAAAGCATATAACTGTTGCAATATATTCAAAGAAAGATAAAGTACAACATAGAGTTATTATATATTACAATAACTAGACAGAAAGACACCAAATAAACACCAAAATAATAAATAAATAACTCCAAAACCTACATGCTGCAAATAGAGAGGTTATATCGGTAACATCTACGAGCACTTGCACAATGGACACAAAACAAAGTAGTGAACCATACCTCGAAGAGCAAGTCACCGACGAAGGTTGCTGCCTATGAGGAACGCAGAAAAGGCTTGGGTCTCCCCAGCTAACTTCTACGCAATGTTCCCTTTTTTCGCTTATTATGATTGTTGCACTGAGGCATGAATATCTTCCATTTGCATTTGGTTGAGGAGCCTAAACATTGCTCAGATAACTCATGAGCTTGTGCAAAAGCAAAAAGGTAAACTTTGATCTAGCTTTGAGACATTAACTAGGAGCGGACAAGTTTCTTCACCTGAATTGATCTCTAGACTACAAGATTTAGGCAACTTATGAACAAAACTAATCTATGTGGTGGAATCATGGGTACCCTCACATGGGTTACCTGAGTTTGCATATTCCTAAATATCCATTTCAACCTCCATGCTTGACTAGTAAATCTGTTTCGCTTGAAGCTTAGCAATTGATATGTTAGGTTGATGAAAAAACTCAGAATTGTTGCTAACTCTTAGTGTCCCCGCATACTAGAATCAATGGGGAGAAAATTTCTTCTCATGATTAGTTGTTTCCTTTCTTCTCCCAGATTGTTTGGGGTTTAACTTGTTTTTAATATTCAATATTGGCCAACTATAATTGCCTTGAGATCTGTCTCAATACCCTTGTCACCATGTTGATTAGATTGGCCACAGTTTCCTATATCACCTCCCATAACACAAACCTCTTCCATTTTCAGAAAGATTATTAGGTATCACTACTGAGGGGACATGACTAGATACCCGTTGCTCTTGCGGCGAGAATAGATCATCTTCGATCATGAAATTTGAATACATGGCTGTAATAGAATTCACTGCAGCCTCCTATTCAAAATCAAAATCATCCTAAAAGGTATCTTTAATAAGTGCCATTTCTAGAGGATCCAAGTAAGAAAACATATCAGAATGGGACATGCCTTGCACCTTGCCTTGTAACACACATGATTCCGGCAATATAGCGAGGCCTTCCCCTTTTTGTTACTTGGTAAAACATCGATTTCCTGAATTAAGGAGAAGCTTTTCTTCAAATGTCAAATTTTATACGATTTAAATTTCAAATTTTACGTGTGGACAGAATTCTGATAATGGTATTAAGGAATGTACCTTGGTATTGTTTAAAGAATTAGAAGCGTTCACGAATCAGATTGATCTGATTTTAGAGTAAATGAAGAAACTAATTGGTTATTACTGTTTAAAAAAGTGTTTAAAATGATTTTTTGGTGGTTGAGATTTAATACTACAAAAGTTGAATATACAATAGTCAAAAGTTGAGAGTGCAACAACTATTGAAAAATACACTCTAAGATCACTCTTAAGAAAAATTACATTGGAGAATCCTTGCTCATTTAATGAAAAAATTGCCGCCTTTGATTTGATGCGGATTTGATCAATTGTAAATGAGGAATCTAATCGGTTTTTATGGTTTAAAAAGTGTTTAAAGTGATTTTTTTTAGAGTGTATGTTTTGGTAGTTGTGATTTAATACTACAGAAATTAAAGTTATAGTAATCAAAAGTTGAGAGTACAACCACCATAAAAAAACACATTCTAAGATCACTTTAGAAAAAAATTACTTTAGTTAATCGTTGCTCATTTGATGAAAAAAATTACCTATCTTTTAATTTCATATTTGATAAATTGATTGGAACACATTTTCAATTATTATTTTTTTATATCAAATTTCAATTTAAAAAAAAAAAAAATTGATGTAAGATGGAAATATGTAGTAAGTGGAACCAATTTTTTTTTATTGTTAAAAATTATATTTCTTACCTACTTGTCGTACTCTAATATAGTAATTGAGTGTCATATATATATATATATGGATTGGGTTTCTGTTAGTAAAAATTATACTTATTTCCAATCGATAAGAATTAAACAATAATTCACACAAATAATTGAACAAGAAGGTTAAGCAACTGTGTATCTGGTTCAAATTACCTTGAAAGTATAAGAATTTCTTTGGAACAAATTATAATTGACAAGAAGGGATGGGGTAAACAAAGTAAACACAAGGTAATGTCAGAATAAAACTATCAAAGTTCACAAAATTAC